GGCGCCCCCGCAAAGCCCCCCCCCCCAGCCACTGCCTTGCGCGCAGAGGCAAGGCTGAGGGCTGCCAAAGGCTGCCTGGGGCCTTGGCAGGCAGCTGGCTTGAGAGCAAGGCTTGGGTGTGTACAGGTGAAGGCGCTGGTGGAGTTCCTGCTGGAGAACTGCGGGGAACTCTTTGCGGAGGAGAGAAGGGAGGTTTCTATTCGAGAGACTGAGGAATCGCCAGCCGCCCCGCAGGGATCCACAGGTAAGAGCAGGCACGGAGGCTTGTCAGGGGCTGGGGCTTGGGATGCCAGACTCTTTGGCGTCGCTTGTGTCGGGGCTGGGCATCATGGCGTGCTGTCCTGTGAGCCGCGCTTGCCCCATGGGCTCTGTCGGGCCCCTGCCTCTTGGGGCAGGAACGGTTTGCTCTGCAAGATGAGCTGCAGGCTGCAGACAGGCTGAGGAGGGCTGCAAACACAAGTGGGGTAGGGCTTTGGGTGGGTTTGGCTTGAGCTCGTTTTCACTTCCAAGAAGTCCCTTTGCTGCCCCTGCTTCTTCTTTCTAGATGTGTGCGTGGAAGAGCCAAGGGTCCCTGCAGAGCCAGCAGACACCAAGCACGTGGCAGAAGCCTTGGCGCACACACCGCGCTCTCTGCTCGGTGTCCTCCAAGAAGCTGGGGGAGATACCCTGGCGCAGCCTGGAACGGGAGAGGTGGGTCTGGTCCCCGCACGCTGCGGCAGCGTGTCTGGGGCAGGAGGGCGCTTGGTGGTGAGGCCAAGTGGCTGCTGTGCCTCTGCCTGGCAGCAGAGCTGCTGTGTGGCTGGCTGATTCCTCCACCCCCCGCCGTGATACATAGTCACCAAAAGCGGCAAGATTGTTTCTGAAATGCACCAGGCATGGGCTTGGTCAGCCTAAAAGCCCCGAAAACAGCAGAGCAACAGACAGAGGGGAGCAGCCGGCAGCTGGAGAAGGCTTTTGCTCAGTCCTGCTTGGTCAGAGCTGGACGAAGCGTATTTTGGGCAGTCAGGGGCACTGCACGAAATGTGGCTGACGCCAAGCAGCCAAAGGGATGTGGTGCGCAGAGCTGAGGGAGCCGCGTTGGGCAACCAGGCGCTTCCCGCTCCGAGTTGTCTCCTGCCACCCACCCACTCCAACCTCTCTGTTGTAGGCACCTCCAGCTGTGCCTCCAAGCAGCCCTGAGAGCGCGGCAGTCTCCCTGCGGTGCCCACCAGAACCGGCGAGCCTTGCAGAGGACAGGAGGTAAAAGGAGCTCGCCTGGCTCCAGAGGAGAAGGGACTGCAGCGGATGGTGGCTTTGCCTAACTGGTAGCAATCCTGTGCTCTGGAAAGGTTTGCAGGCGGTCCCCAGCCCAAGGAAAAGGGAAGAGAGAGGAAAGAGGCGTGGGGAGAGGAGAGAGCAAGCTGCGCAGAAGAGCAGAGGAGCAAGAGAGAGCAAGTTTTGGGGAGCGGAGCAGCGCAAAACCGCCGGAAGGTGCAGCGGGTCAGGAAGCGCAGGTGTGTAGCAGGCTCTGCTGCCCCAGCGCTGGAAGTGAGTGCAGCCGTGTGGCAAGGGGCGAGGGCTGGTGCTGCGCAGGGTGTGTAAAGAAGTGGCAGCTGCCCAGGGGCTCCCGCTGGAGCCCTGCTGCGTGGCACGGGGCACCGTGCGTCTCTGCAGAGGCGCAGGTCTGGCAGGGCATCAGCCCTGCAGATCAGGGGCCAGAGGCATCGCACAGCCAGGGCCAGCAAGAGCTCTGTCTTCTGGGCCTTCAGCTGTTCCTGCGCAACGGGCTTCGCCGAAGCAAGGGCAGCAAAGTCCTGCCTCTTGCTGCCTTCTCCAGGTTGAGCAGAGCTTTGTGACCTTGTCGTTGCAGGCGCCGACGCATTTTCTGCGCCTGAAGCAGCGTGAGTGCTGGGACGTGGCAGTTGGCGGCCACAATAAACTGATCTCTTGTCTCTTGTGACTGTGTCAGGCCTGGGGTGTTGTGGAGTGGGGAGGTGTTGTTTTGTGCTGAGTCGTCGGGGAGGAGTTTGGGCTGGTCCCTTGCTTGCTAAAGCAGCATTGTTTGCAGCGGGCGCGAGGGCTGCGTTGAGGTGCTTGAGGAGGGAAAGCAAAGCAGCGAGTGGCAGGGGCGGCTGGAGGCTGGCAGGGAGCTGTGGCGCTCAGGTGGTCCACCCTGTGCTCAGGCAGGCTCCCGTCGAGCAGGGTGCCCAGGCCCTTGTGCTGGGGAGTCTGGAGGATCTGCTGGCAGCTGCTGCATGTGCTTAGAGAAAGGGGCAGACGTAGGCAGGGCCCGGTGGCCCCAAAGGGCTGAAGGAAGAGTTTCACTTCCCCGCTGGGTGGGAGAATGTCCTCAGCTCACCCAAAAAGCTTTAGAAGCGGCTCCAACAGCAGCTGCGCTGCTGAGGCTTTTGTGCATCCCAGCGTGATCCAGGGAATGCCCGCATCACGACGGAGGAGGAAGGCCGAGCACTCTCACCGTTGGCTCTGGAGCTTTTTTGATTAGAAGTTCACAAGTAGCCTGTCTTCAGGTTGAGATTGCCAGTTATGCATTAGAGAATTTCTGTGTTTGTATCCTAATGATAAATTTGTGAATGATTGTATTGGTATGTTAGGCTGGTGTATACAGATATGTTTGAGCCATTTTTTTCCCTTTTTGTTCTTTCTTTTTCCGTGTAAACTTTATAAAATGTTCTTGAAGTTTCAAAGTATGTTGTCCTGTAAATGTGAGAGATCCAGGCAGATCATGAAACTGCTCAGGTGAGAAGTGTCTTCCAGTTGCTCTGCATGCAGTGCAGGGCAGGGTGGGGGTTGTTTATTGTTTTCGTAAGCTCCAAAGAAAATACTGTTCCTCCCTAATTTAGAAGACCTGCCATATTATTACTGTTTTCATAGTGCTTTCTTCAAATGAATCCGGAAAAATGGGAATCACGTCTTCACTTTTTAATTACCAGACCCAGCATCTAAAGTTATATGCAGACCCAGTTCTTCACAGAGTCGTACGTGGGCAATGCAGTGCCCCCTGAATTTACTGGACAACTCTGGTTTGTCCAAAGTGGTGTGCTGGTTTTGACGCATTAGGAGCAGAGCCAGCACCTGACTGAGTCCCAGGCATCTGCAGGTACATCATAAAACTGAAAACTGCCCTTCATCCACCAACAGTGCGTTCAGAAGACCCCGGTTCAGCTGGCACATCTGCCCAGGCAGGGAACGAGGCCATTCCTGAGAAGAAAAGGTCAGGTGAAGATTGCTCTTTGTTGCAGATCAAGCCAGGGTTTCACTGCCTGTGCACGTTGGTTTCAGGAGCTGTGTTCTCACTCAGGACTTGTTGCAGTCTGAACTCATCTTTCAGGCTGGTTCATAGCAGGTATCCTCCATTAGTGACACTTTGCTTTGACAGGCATCCTGCTGTGCATTGCAGCGGCTCAGAGCTAAATAATTTACGTTTGAAGCCCATTTTTGCACAACTTAGAAAATGGAAAAGAGCAGGAATATTGCATTGGCGAACTGTGGGGTAGACAAATACATTCTGTCCGATAGTTTCTAAGCATTGCACTTTGCCATCCGTTGTTTCAAAATTGCTTTCTCTCCCATAATTATCTTCACAAGAGAAGGCTAATCCAAAGTTTTTTCCCCTTTTTTTTTCAAGGTGGTTCATTGATTTCCATTTTTAATAATAAAAGTGAATAAATAAAAAAAACCCAAGCAAAGACATATATTACCTAGCATTTAAAAGAGAGAAGATGTATATGTGCCAAAGCACACTTCATCTGTGGACATCAAAGTGTCTCACAGAGGTCATAATCCTCATTTCAAAGATGAGGAAACAGAGGTGCTGAGGGGAAAATTGACTGGCTTAGCAGGTCAGTGGCAAAGCAGGGCAAGAGTCTCCTGAGCTTGTACTACAGGCGGAGATGAGTGAGCAGAGGATAACAAACCCGCCCACACCTAATCAAGACAGCCCAGGTCCCAAGTGCAATGAAAGCAGGGAGAACAGCAACTGATGCCACAAGCCATGGAGCCAGTGAAGCCTGGTTTCCTCCTGTTTTGTTTCGAAAGGCTAGTCTGGGGTTGTCTGATGTTTGCCTTTGATGGTGCAAACATGGGGTGCCACTGTTGCCTTTCCCTCACCAAGGGCACAGGTGAAGTCTGGTTCCTCAGCTTTGTTGTCTGTTTTCCCAAAACTTTTGGATACTTGAGAATTTTTGAGCCTTTCTGTCAGGTGTGATCATTGTAAGCCAGTGGGGTCAAAAAGAGCATGTCCCTGCATGCACACACACACACATGCACACACAGACATGTCTGTCTTGGCATTGCAATATAGGGAATACCTTATCCCATGGTACTGTGCAATCAGTCAACATTTTGATAATGTAGATCTGCAGTTTGAACTTTTTTTCTCTGTGACAGAGTTCTGAAAGTGGATAAAGTGTGGTAAAGCAAGGAAGTTCACGATGTGGTTTTGGTAGCCTCTATTATTTATTCTTACAGGAAAATGCTTCCCAAAGGGAGATAAAATTTGACTTCCAACTCCGTAGCTGCATCTTCTTTGAGCCCTGAGAGACTCACTATGAAGTGAGACTCCTTCAGGTTATTTATTTGATGAATAACTTGTGAGAGAAGACATTTTTATGCCTGCAGCCATGCTGCCTTGGGTCATGGTCGTGTCATATCTTGTTACTCAGAGAGGGAGAGGTTGAATGGGAATTTTGGTGTGAAATTCTGAAGTAGTGATTTTCAATCTTTCTTAATTTGTGAACTCTGAAAATGTTCTGGGGGCTGTTCAGCCTCCTTGATGGAAAATTAAAATCTGGTGACAAGAGGCTCGTTTTCTTAGCTTTAATGGAACCATTAATGATAGATCATTGATGCCACAGGTCTGCTGGCCAAAAATTGAAAAAAATTGCTTTAAAGAATACCCCTGGTATTTCAGGAGTGCATCTTCTGGCTCAGAAGAGAGCGTCTGTCCCTTTGAGGGACAGAACGCAGCTGCTTCTTGGAGGTGTAGAGTTTCATAGCATGATGTGGCCGTACGCTAATGGAAGAACTTAGAGTGTTTTTTATAAAGGGGTGTGTGTCTGGGAGGTAGACACAATTCAGAGGGTTCTACCTCTCTACTCATTGTTAGAAGCAGCAAAATCAATGGGAACCAGGGCACAAGATCGTGGCTCTGTCTGTAGGAGAGCACCCATGGTCTGGCTGTGCATGTGTGAAGACGTCTGTCTGGGCTGACCCCTTGCACCTGTATGTGTGCAGGGTGCTGTTGGACATGCTGTCCTTGGGAGGTCAGCTCTTGGTTCAGGAAACAGACTATCTACCTTTGTCACAAACTGTGCTGCACAACTGGTAGTTACTCTTCATGATAACCGCTTTGAAATGGCTGGCAGTGTAATCTTCTGATTAACAGTGCATTCCTGTCTGCCTTCTGCTTCTTCAGACGGGAGTTGCAAAAGGCGGGTAGTAGAGGTAAGTTGTCTCGCCTTGGCGTTCACCCTCTTTGACCTTCAACTCTTTTATCTTGATGAGGTCCATGTTACCCACTAGTTAAAAAGACACTGTGTTGTTCTTAGCCCACAGGAGGGTTGTGAGAGTTTTAATAATAAACTTCTCTAGATCATCAAGTGAAATGTGCTATATAAATGCAGATTAATGTTACTAGAAAGCCTGCAGGTTCTGTGCCTGCTGAGTCCTTGCTGTTGCGTCTGCCAGCAGAC